CAGGCCATGATATTTCCATTTGCCTTGTATGCATGTGAGAGCTGGACAATGAATAAGGAAGACCAAAGAAGAGTTGATGCTTTTGAGTTGTGGTGCTGGTGAAGAATGCTGAAGGTACTGTGGACTACCAAAAGAACTAACAGATCTGTCCTATTAGTGCAGCCAAGATGCTCCTTGGAAGTGAGGATGGCCAGACTTCGTCTCACTTACTTTGGTCCTTTTGTCAGAGTGGACCATTCCCTGGAAAAAGATGTCATGCTTGGTAAGGTGGAAGGTCGACGAAAGAGGGGAAAGCCTTGGATGAGATGGATTGACACGGTGGCTGCAAGAATGGGCTCAAGTATAGCAAGGATCATGGAGCTGGTGTGGGATCGGGTGGTGTTTCGTTCTGCTGTGCATGGGGTCACTATAAGTCGGAAGCAACTCAGCGGCACCTAACAACAACAACATGATATTAATAATATTGTTCAATAATTTCCATATTCTGTGGGATCACCTTTCTTTGGAATGGGTATAAATATGGATCTCTTGCAGTCAGTTGGCCAGGTAACTGTCTTCCAAATTTCTTGGCATAGACAACTAAGTGCCTCCAACATGGCATGCATTTGTTGAAACATCTCAATGGGTATTCCATCAGTCCCTGGAGCCTTGTGCTTTGCTAGTTCTCTCATTGTGGCTTTGACTTCCTCTTTCAATACCATTGGTTCTAGATCATATGCCACTTCCTGAAATGGATGAACAATGACCAATTTTTTTTTATATAGTGACTGTCTGTGTTCTTTCCATCTTCTTTTGATGCTTCCTGCATCATTCAATATTTTACCCTCAGAATCTTTCAGTATTGCAACTCAACAAAAGACCTAAGCAGTGTGGTCCACCAACTTGACCTTATAGACATCTGTAGAGCACTTCACCCAACAACAGCACAATATACATTCTTTTCCAGTACACAGGGAACATTCCCCATGATAGACCATATGTTAGGACGTAAAGCAAGCATTAATAAATTTGAAAACACTGAAATACTGCAAAGCATCTTCTCAGATCACAGTGCTATAAAATTAGAAAACAGCAATAGGAAGATTAATGGAAAAAGAACAGACATGGAAACTGAACATCTTCCTTAAGAATGACTGGGTAATAGAAAAAGTAAAAATGAAATTAAAAAATTCCATCAATCAAACAAGAATGAAAATACAACATACCAAAATCTTTGGGACACAGCAAAAGCAGTGATCAGAGGCCAATTTGTAGCAATAAATGTACACACCAAAAAAGAAGAAAGAGCCAAAATCAACACCTAAACCAATATCTCAGTGTTGTGATCCGAGGCTTGAATTTTTTCTTCAGTTCTTTCAGCTTGAGAAATGCCAAATGTGTTCTTCCTTTTGGTTTTCTAACTCCAGATCTTTGCACATTTAATTGTAATAATTGACTTTGTCTTCTTGAGCTGTTCTTTGAAATCTTCAATGTTCTTTGAAATGTTCAGATCTTTTATCTTTGGTGTAGCTATTCTCCATTGAAGAGCCAGTTTCAGAGTCTCTTGTGACATCCCTTTTGGTTTTTTCTTTTCCTGTCTTTTTAATGGCCTTTTGCTTTCTTTCTTTATGATGTTTTTGTATGTCATCCCATAATTCATCTGGTTTTCAGTCACTGGTGTTCAGTGTGTTAAATCTGTTCTTGAGATGATCTCTAAATTAGCAACTGTAGAAAGGTGGTAGCTTTTAATTTGCCCATATTTACTAAGAAATTAATGCAGATTTTTTTTTTTCCTTCCTATGTTGTTGAACTTGATTTGGTCATTGAGAACTTCTTCACTGTTATTTCCCAGTAGTTCAGTGTTCTCACATTGATCAAAGCAATCCTCTAAAGTTAGACCAGGAAGCCTTGGTGGAGCAATGGTTAAATGTTCAGCTGGTAACCAAAGGTGTGAACCCACCAGTAGCTCCAAGGGAGAAAAGACTTGATCATCTATTCCCATAATGACTACACCCTAGGAAATCCTATGAGGCAGTTCTACTCTTATCACACAGGATCACTGTGAGTTGCACTCACCTTGATAGCACAGAACAACAAAGATGATATTGCCTATCTACTTACGAGTGGATATGTGCATGGGATTATGGTTGATACAGAAATTTCTTACCAACTTGGCAACATGTTTTTGGTTGCTGTGAGAATGATTTAAAGTTATATTGAAGTTAAAAAATATATATATACTTCAGAGTGAAATATTCAATTGAGAAACCAGATTTTTTAAAGACAGCATCTTTAAAATAACGAATGCTTTTAGTTGACATATACTTAAGTTTCTAGAAATTTTAGAGTTGAAACACATTAAAAAATATTGGAGTTATTTGCAACTGCAAGTTATTTTGGTATAATTTAAATGTATATAAATCCACTAAGTGAGTGGATATATAAGAAAATTATTTTAACTGGATTGATGTTATAGATTGAATTGTGTCCCCAAAAAATATGTGTTGTAAATCCTAATATTTATGTCTGTGATTATAATCCCATTTATGAATGGGTTATCTGTTATATTGAGACAGGATTAGTGTAGAGTATGTTTTAAGTCAATATCTTTTGAGGTATAAAAGAGGTTAAACAAGCAAGTGAGTAAGCAGAGATGGAGGATGAGAAATGCCAGGTACACAAGATCATCCAGGAGCAGAAGTTTCAGACAGACGAGGACCTTCCTCTAGATCTGGCAAGAAGAAAAAGCCTTTCCCTTATAACTGAATTCTGACTTACAGTCTCCTAAACCTGTGAGAAAATAAATTTCTGTTTGCAAAAGCCACCCATTTATGGTATTTCTGTGTAGCAGCACTAGATGATTATGACAGTTGAATAGAGTAAAATTTCACATGTCAAATTCTTTTCCAATTCTAAAAGTATGACTTAAGTCTTAACTACAGTTGATCATGTTCTACTTCTGTGTTTTTTCATTTCAGGCTGAAATAGAACTATTTGTGAACAGGCTTGACTCAGTGGAATCTGTTCTTCCTTATGAATATACAGCGTAAGTTTTTCAACTTGGTTTTTATATAAAATTTCATGTTGACTTACCAGAATTCTGTGCATTTAGATCCTAATTTTCTCTAAAGTTATGGATCATCTTATATGCATTTAAAACAATAGTGAACTTAAAAGTGTTTTTAGGAGGTACTTTCTACTTCCAACCTGTAAAACAAGCAGTTGCCTTCAAATCAGTTCCTTTTTTACTTTCAAAGTAGGTTTAAAACGTGATCTTCATTTTATGTTGCTTTGACATACAGTTAGTACAGAAGTACTAACTGAAACAATGGATTTCCTTTTTTACCTGAGTAGGTACTAAGTCATTCCCCAGAAATAAATACTTTGATGTCTGTTCCTCCATATTTTTTATCTGACTAACCTAATAAACCCTAGAGAAGTTGTCGAGTTGCAATATTGAAAGATTCTATGGATAAAATATTGAGTGATGCCAGAAGCATCCATGGTAAAGTAGAAGGTCAACAAAAAAAGGAAGACCTAAATGAGATGGACTGACACAGTGACTGCCAACAATGGGCTCAAGCACAGCAGTGATCGTGAGGACAACACAGGACTGGGCAGCATTTCATTTTATTGCATATAAGGTCGCTAGTTGTTTAGGAACAACTAAATAGACTGATGTAGCTATGTATGTACTGAGATGTCCACAGTAGATCCAGTGAGAAAAATAAAGTGCAAATCAAATATAATAGTGTGAGCCTACTTTAGTTTGAAACAAAAATGTATTACATATATGTATATGTGCTTAAAGCATGGATGGAAACTGGCTGTTCTTCCTCCAAGACAAATTTGTTTGTTATTCTCACAGCCCATGGTATATTCAGTATTCTTTGCCAACACCATGATTCAAATGCATCACTTCTTTGATCTTCCTTATTCATTGTTTAGCTTTCATATGCCTATGAGGGGATTGAAAATACCATAGCTTAGGTCAGGTGCACTTTAGTCTTCAAAGTGGTGTCTTTGTTCTTTAACACTTTAAAGAGGTCTTTTCCAGATTTGCCCAATGCAATGCATTGTTTGATTTCTTAACTGCTACTTCCACAGACATTGATTGTGGGTCCATGTAAAATGAAATCCTTGACAATTTCAGTCTTTTCTGTTTATCTTGATGTTGCTTGTTGGTCCAGTTGTGAGGATTTCTGTTTTCTTTATGTTGAGGTATAAACCACAGCGAAGGCTATAGTCGTTGATCTTCATCAATAAGTGCTCCTTACTTGGGTCTTGTATGCTTTCAGCAAGCAAGGTTGTATCATCTGCATATTGCAGGTTGTTAAGGAGTCTTCCTTCAATCCCAATGCCACATTTTCCTTAATGTAGTCCAGCTTCTCAGATTATTTGCCCAAAATACAGATTGAATAACGGGTGAAAGGATACAACCCTGGTGCACACCTTCCCTGATTTTACACCATACAGTAGCCCCTTGTTCTGTTCAAATGATTGCCTCTTGGTCTGTATACCTGTTCCTCATGAGCACAATTAAATGTTCTCGAATTCTCATTCTTTATAGTCTTTTTAGTAGCTGGGTATTATTTCATTGTAGAGATTGTATTGATTACATTGTGTAGACTCCATGTATGAATGTTTTCTCTAATTTCCTATTTATGAACACTTGATTGTTTCCAGTTTTTTATTGTAAAAAATGTTGCATGAACATCTTTGTACATACAACCACAAGTTACTATATATGTTTAACCACTGTATGCCATATTAGGTACAACATAGTTCCTAAATATTTCTTCTTGTTGTATTTCTTAGCTTCCAAATTTCTCATATATCTAAAAATTTTGAATGAAACTATACGTTTACCATAGAGGAAAGCACACCCAAAAAAAGTAAGACTATCCTCTAAGATTTACATGCCTAAATATGTATAAGAAGAGAGTATAAAATTCATGTATGGATTGACCATATTTAACTATTGGAAACTTAAATATTTTTTCTAGTTTTTGTTTGTTGGAAACCCTGTGGGCAATTCTACTCTGTTTTATAGGGTCACTATGAGTAAAAATCAACTTGATGATAGGTTTGTTTTTTCAAGAGCATTATTCAGGAATCAAAGTATTCTAAGGCATTATTTTCAGGAGTTTTGTTTTGTTTTAGGTAGATGTGGTACATAGAACTTGGAGTGTGAATGTATTTCTTATCTATTAGAGCTGCTGGAATGGTTAGTAGTACATGGTTTGCTCAAGAAAAACTAAGTGTTTGATAATTTCATTATTCCTTTTATATTTAAAATTTTAACTATTCTTTCCCCCAGGTTTGATTTTTGCCAAGCATCAGAAGGAAAACGCCCATCTGAAAATCTTGGTCAGGTATTATTCGGAGAAAGAATTGAACCTTCACCATACAAGGTTTGTATGTAGATAATATAAAAATTATTTAATTAAAACTTTTTTTTTTTTTTTAACACTAAAAGAGAAAAGCTTGAGATAACTTTGCTCTCATTGCTAAAGTGGAATTCATTTTCCTCCTGCATCCAGGAAAAATTTCTTAAAATCACAGTTCAGAGAGACTCTCTTCCTTCTGGTGACATGTCATGGATAAGTCTGTCTTAAGCACTCATACAACCAGTATTATAAATGATAAAAGCAATAGCCTAAAGGAAAGTGCTCAGGCCCTTGCTTCACCTCACAGTAGGACCCGGAACCCAGCTTTCAGTCATGAAAAGTTGTTCCAGCTCCTTCTAAGTCTTCATTTCTTCTCTTTGCACGCAGCATCTATAGACTACTTATATTAACAAATACACCATTAGGCCTTGGGCTCTCTCATTTTTGATAAGCTAACATTTCTGGGTTTTTTTTTTTTTTTTTTTTTTTTTCATTCTTCTTCTTTTTTCCACACAAATTTTTCTATTTTCCAGTGCATATAAAAGTTAGGTTTACACTATATTGCATCCTATTCAGTGAACAATAGAATTGTCAGACAGTTTGAAATATTGTGAGAATTACCAAAATGTGACACAGAGACACAAAATGAGCACATGCTCTTGAAAACTGACATTGATAGACCTGCTTGACACAGGGTTGTCATAAACCTTCAATTTGTAAGAAATGCAATATATGTGAAACACAATGATTCAAAGTATAATACAATGAAGTATGCCCAAATCTTGTTTATCACTTTTATAATTTCTGTTGTTTGAGCTTCTAATTTTACTAAAAGGCTTTCTTCTTTCTTTATTTATTTTATTGTGATTTGGGTGAAGGTTTACAGAGTAAGTTCACTTTCCATACAGCGGTCCACATATACTTTGTCTCATGACATTGACCACAGTTTACCACAATGCAACAGCTCCCCTCCCACTTCCTCCCCATAGTTACCTCT